GAAATCTATACCGAATCTCTGTATGTAGTGGACAAAGCTAAGCTGGGGATCATTGATAACAGCCGGCTGGCGTTATATAGTTGTATTACCATTGTGATTGTTCTATTTATGTTTTTAAGGTGTTTTATCGATCTTTTTTTATTTTTCTAGCATTTTTCTCATTCTCTTCTATTTTTCTTTTATTTTTATTATTCTCCTCTATTTTTTTACATTCCTCTATTATCATCTACACGGGAAACAGATTGTGTCAAGATGAAGCGTAATTCCAAATCAAGTGCTAAATGCATGCTTTGCATGCAACATCACGATGTCAATGCATTGCATGGCATTGCAATGCATGCAATTGCCAATACATACCATGCATTCGCCGCAACATCACTCGTCGGCTTCTGGACGCCACCGGTGTTGTTTTGCCGCCGGCTGTGTCTGAACAGTTACCACGCCTGCCTTTTCGGAGAGCGACTAGTTCTGCGAATGGGCTATTTCTCTTTGAGTGCCACTTTGCTGTCTTCTCTTTCATCTCAAGCTTCCCTGCTCTCTACATGCAGAACAATGCCATAGACACCATTAGCTCAGACGCAGTTTGTAAGACGACATTTTTTGTGGTATTTCCAGGCAGCATCGTTTGCAAGGTCAATAGGAACTTGAAGAACAACGCTACCTGACACCCTCTATGTGTCAAGAGAACGCATTCGCCGCAGCAGCATGCTGAGCATCGGGTATATCGTTATGTTGTAGACGTTTATGGACCGCATGTTTCACACGAACGTATACATTATGACATGTATTGATGTCGTTCAGGTATAGATAACTTAATCTAAGAGCGATATGATCTGATAAGATTCGCGATGCACGCATTGATCATTTGCATTGCCAATGCCGTCTTTTCACGCACTATCTCGAAAGGCACTGTCACGTGTTGGAGTTGGCTTCGCGTGTTTTTAGAGCTATCGTCGTGCACAATCCATTATAAAGTGCCCTAAAGGCTTCTGTGTTATGCACAATGCACGATTGTTTGTGTGATTAATGAGAGCTTAATATAAAGGCGAAAGAGCGTCACAGAAAGAGGTGTGCCAATATTAATTTCAAGCCTTTCCATGCGTCTCCAGAGCATTCTTGGAAAGTCGGGGTGCCATGACACCCACAGAACCCCTTCCTTTCTACGCCTCTGCCATAATGCGACCTGAAACAAGTTGGTATGTGATATGTCAGCCTTCTGTCGGCAGCCATATGTCAGCCACATGTCAGCCTTGTGGCAGCAGCTGAACATTTATCTAAAGAAGGGCACCTACGTCAACCCAATAAGATTGTAGCGTGGTTCTCGCCCACATGATGCTGTGGAACCTCACTTTAGTACGTTGTGCACCTTCAACGCGTGGAAAGTAAATTTTGGATATACAGGATCAAAAGTAACCTTTATTTTAGGTCAACAGATAATATCCGTACCGGAGAGCTCGACGCAGCCCATAAGGCAACGGAAGGAGCTCGAATCCCTACGCTGGTGGCGCCGCCTGCGGTCACAGGTCCTCAGCCTGTGGCGCTACCTGTACTCGTCCGGGATAGCCAGCTCTCCTCAAGCGTGAGTAGCGTATGCTACGCGGGAAGTACAAGCCTAATGTAAAAGCGCACCCCAGGCTGCTCCAGGTTGAGTCGCTGATCTCAAATTTATGCTTTTTCGGTCCATTTAGTCGCAGAATCATTTTCGTCAGGAGCAGCGCCACGGATTTTGAGTCGGGGGGGGGGGGGGGGCAGGATTCACAGGGGGCCTCCTGGACACAGTGGGGCCTCCTCACAGCGGGCGTCCTGGGCAGTGTCATTTCCGAGAAGGAAGGTACGGAGGGCATATGCTTCTGAATCAAACTGCTCCACGCATCATATCCGAGAAAAAACGCTGAAAATTTAAAAAAAAATAACTGAAAATCAGGCCCCCAACAGAATGGGGGCTACTTATGATCCAGAAAATGGCTTCAGTAAGCTAAAACAGGGCCGCCTGGTGCAAACAGGGGCCTCGTAAGACAGAAAGGAACATTTCCGACTCACGGGGGGGGGGGGATTTCCAAAAAAACAGGGCATCTTGATTCAGAACTGCAGCCCTCTGGCGCATGAAGTGGCCCCCCTGAATATAGAGGGCGCCTTCTAACCGTGGGCGGTGTCTCCTAGTTTGTAATGAGGCCTCCAAAACCGGCAAAAAGGCTTTCTTTACACATCATTGGTCCCTCTGATCTAGAGCATGGGCTACCTTGTTCATGGAGGTGGTCTCATGATCTGCAAAGCAGGCCTCTTGATGTAGGAAAGGTCTTTTGAGCCCAATTTATCGCGCTTTAGCTCAGTTATGGGGGCTTCCTTGATCTGAGTTTTGGCGATCTAGGGGTAGTTACAATACCCTTAACTAAGGAAAAAGGGGTTTCTCCACGATTTTTTTTGGGGGGGGGGCAAAAAAATACTCTTGTCCCACTGATTGCTGGGAGGTGGGTATCTATGCTGCTGTATGCTCTATCCCCTTTGCTGCACCGGCCCTGTTTTCTATATCGACAGTCCTAGAGGTCAAGAAGCGGAGTCTCACCAAGTGTCAGTGGTGCTGCTCCTTGTTGCATCCTTTTCTGGAAGGTGCTGTGACGACTTGAGCGCAATGCAGCGTTTGCAAATGCTGAGCATTACTCCGCTGTAGCTACATTCATTGTCGAAAGGTTCTGAGACGGACCTCAGCTGTTCGTATATTTGTCGGCGTGTTAAGAACAATTTCAGTTGTTATATTCGGAAGTCAGGTGTTTGGAGGAGATCAAGAGGGACTTCGACGCCCTAGATGTAATCAACACAACTTGAACCAGAATTTTAGGTCGTTCAGAGGACAAGTCTTTTTGTGAAATGGCACCCAAATCCAGATCCTGGGTGAAATGCACTGCCCATTCCCATTAACTTAAAAAAGACTGGAAATCGATTGGCTCGAACAAGCTGTTCAGTTATTTTTTCATCTTTCCAATTTGCAATAGCCGTTTTTTACCACGATAGCGCGTGACTTTTGCGGACTGCTACATTTGGAAACACAAATGTTGTTATCACATGCCAAAGCTTCTAGACGCATTTTAATCCTGTGTTGAAGCAGATTTGTGTTGCGCGGTATTGTAGTTCATCGACTCTCGAAGTTTTATGTGCACTTGCTTTTCACTACGTTAAGTTACGATTGCTTACATTTTAGGCATTTTGATTTAGGCCAACACGCCGCATAAAAGCGGCATTCTTCTTGCACTATAAATATTGCAATTTACCCAACTGTTTTTTGGCTCAATATATATATATATATATATATATATATATATATATATATATAGTGAAACATACATCACCTTGTCATTTTATAGCCAATTATGCTGTGAATTGCGATATCGGCTTCTACCCAGCCACTATAGACAGGGATGTATATACATTCGAAAGCAAATGCTCAGACACACGCATTCAAACGTGGCTTGTGTGTAAGTTGAACACAGTGATGCTAAGTTGCCCGGTCAGCAAAAACGATAGCTTTAAGGTTTTTACGTTAAAACTACTTCAGCGAACGATATACCATTTAGACATGCTATACTTCCGAAAATACATATTTACTACAATACCTAAAAGTGCCGATTCCATTGCGCGTGACATTCGGGGTGGATCACGGCGCAGAGCCTATTAAAAACGCCTCGGAAGCCGGCGCACGTGGTCTTCTTTGGCATGCGGCCACATGTTAGAAACGGATGTTAACAGCCTCTTGTACGCTTTTCAGCTGTACTGTTTGGTTGTAAACCATGGCGCTCATTCAGCAAGGCATGCGGCAGCAGCGGCAGCGTAGCTCCCGACTGGTGTGCTGGGGTGGTGGCTACACCGTTCTTCTGACTACCCCCCTCCCCCCGCAGCTCCCGATAGACGTGCTGGGGTGGTAGCTGCGCCCACCGTTCTCCCTACTCCCCCCCCCCCCCCCCACAGCTTCCGATCCCTCTCCGCAGCTCCCGACCGGCGTGCTGGGGTGGTGGCTGCACCGTTCTCCCGACTCCCTCCCCCCCGCAGCTCCTGACAGGCGTGCTGGGATGGTGGCTGCACCGTTCTCCCGACTCCCCTCTCCCCGCAGCTCTTGATTGGCGTGCGGGGGCAGTGGCTGCACCGTTCTCCTGACTCCTCCCTCCCCCCCGCAGCCTCCGGCCGGCGTGCTGGGGGTGATGGCTGCACCGTTCTCCCGATTCCCCCCCCCCCCGCAAGCCCCGACTGGCGCGCGGGGGCGGTGGCTGAATCGTTCTCCTTTTTCTCCCCCCTCCTCAGCCATGGGAGACGTGAGACCACCGACAAGCTCGTCACCCGTGATCTCGAAAGGAGGCGGAGAATAGTGCTGGGCTCATTAGGGGATGATGGATCCCAGTCATCTATGGACGTGGAGACCCAGAAATCTTGTCCTGGCTCATGGCGCTGGTTCTTCCAGGCACACCGGGAAGTGAACAAGTTTGAAAAGTCACCTTTGGATATGGCTTTGAATATGAAACATCTGCATATGTATTGAAGCCGTAAACCGAGGGGTGATTTAGCTGCAAGTTCACAACCTATGGGGAAACGCTTTAGGTACCGACATTGTACCGCCCGCGTGTTCCACAGTCGTTCGCAGGACACGGGCAGGCACTCCCCGGTCTAGTCTCGACGGACGGCTCCATTGTGCCGGCCGAAGAGCGTGGGCCGCCCCCGGACCGCACTGCCGCAGTGGTGGCGGGGGCGGCCGACTGGGCCTGGCTCCGCTGTCCCACTGGTGGCCCGGCCATCGACCGACGACCGCGCGGGGCGCGCACCCCGCTCCCAGGATCGATTTTCCGGCCGGTCGGCGGCGGCGGCGGCGGCGGCGCCGGCGGCGTGTCGGGGACGCCGTCGAGCGACCGGCCGCGGCGGTGGACTGACGAGGTAAGTAACGCCAAGCGGGCGGTGGACGGCGCTCAGCTGCGCGTGTGTCGCTGCCGTGCTGCTGGCGGGTTAGCCCGGCAGTCGTGCGCCCGGTGACATCGGCGCGCCGCCGGCCGTGAGCGGGTTCGGTGCAGCGTGCGCGCAAGCCGCGTCCAAGCCAGCGACTGGACGGTGCACACGGCTGCGGGGAAGTGGGGCGCGTGTGTCCGGTTCCCCGGGCAACGCAGCGGTCAACGGACCGCACCCCGGGCCGTTGACAGCGACGCTGGTCCACTGTCGTGCCGCCAGCACGACCGACCGTGCCGGCATGGCCATCGTTTCAGAGGGCGGCGCCATGCCGACTAAGCTGGGAGACCAGGCCACGACGCCCACCACCAAGCGGAAGAACGCCTCACTCGGCTTCTTCTCCAACATCTTCAAGCGGAAGCGGGAGGAGCCGGACCCGGCACAGGTGGTGCACTCTGCCGGTGAAGGTGAGTGCGTCGAGGCGCGCCGGTGCGGTGACGCAGCGCCGGGCCATCCGTTTCGGCGAGTGCACATAGATCCGGGTTATCGAACGTCGACGTATCCGCGGACCGCGCATGCCGTGATGTGTTTGCTGCGTTCTGCGTTCCCCGTAAGCTGGTACTAGTCTTTTGCTGTTTGAAACTTATCAGTTGTCTCAAACGTTGTTTGACGATCATTTGCTTGCAATGTCCATATTTTAGTCGTTGACAGTCTGTGTTTCATGGATGCAAAATTGTTTATCTGTGAAGCGATTATTGAAATCGGACAAATGGTTGTAGCATGGTACTGTCTTGAATGCCTTGCTGGTAAGTAGCTCACTTACAAATCCGGCGATTGGTCTTCTGTTACGATACTTTTTAACAGGACCTCGGTTGGAGTTGGTGACCTCAACGCACCCATATATATTCCCACAATAAATTCCACACGCCATAGGTTTTCTCAAAATTTAATCCCGTATCATGCGCTGTAGCAACGCTGAACCTTGCAGTACTATAGATCATATAATGGTCTATGTTGGGATCCCAAAAATATGCATACATTCCAAGGCCACTGGTCCGTAGATGGATGAAAGTGAGTCATGATTGCCAGAAATGAACATTCTTAGGCCAACTTTCAACCCGATGCAAGGACGGATTCTTTCACGAAGTCATGCAACTTTTGGGCGGCTTCTTAGACAATAGGTTAATTGAAACTCGGATAACAAGAAATGGCAATACCCTTGGTTCAGTTATAAATGTCAGATCAAGGCAACAAACGAACAGCTTTTTTACTAAAAATTGCTTTATCTGAGAGTTTTTATGTTTATTCATAATTCTTTGATCACGAGGACATCGTCAGATGTCTCGCTCTGACTTAACGAGGGCCAGGGAGGTGCATGACCCGCAATGCTCTCATCTACCTATGGCGGTGAAGAGCTTGCCGCTTATGGATGTTTCTTGACGCTGATCTTAAATCCAAGTATTAGCGTGATTTCAATGTAGGATTTGTCAGTTTGACCCCTTTAAGGTTGGATACAGTCAACGGTCTGGGATGACTGTGAATGGACTTTGTTTAAAAAAAAGACGTATAAGTTTCCGGTGGTTGTGTGAGGAGGTATGAGGGCAATTATCACAGTGACTTTGATCATACTTACCCAAGCTGTGAGGTATAACATGTGCATAAAGATTTGTACAATAGACATGCAATAACCTTATATATATATATATATATATATATATATATATATATATATATATATATATATATGTGTGTGTGTGTGTGTGTATGTGTGTGTGTGTGTGTGTGTGTGTGTGTGTGTGTGTGTGTGTGTGTGTGTGTGTGTGTGTGTGTGCGTGTGTGTGTGTGTGTGTGTGTGTGTGTGTGTGTGTGTGTGTGTGTGTGTGTGTGTGTGTGTGTGTGTGTGTGTGTGTGTGTGTGTGTGTGTGTGTGTGTGTGTGTGTGTGTGTGTGTGTGTGTGTGTCTAACACACAAAATGCAGCAAAGTACGCTGAACGAACATCATTTGATGCGGTTAAAGGCACTTGTAACGCCAACGTATGTGGTAGACACAAGCAACTATGCTGCAGATTCAACAAAATGTACATCATTTGACCTTAGTTGACCTTTGATTGCTCATGACCTAAAGATGCAAAGATTGCTCGTAGATGTTTGAAAGCCGCATACTAAGACAAGCGAAGTATCATAGAGTGCTGCCTGCCCTGTAAAGCGCGTACCTCTAGCTCTGTTGTTTTCGGAGAACCTCAAGAGAATTTAACGAATCCCACATCCAAGCGTTTTGCATTGACCGCCCACCCGCGCAAGTGTCAACGCTTGCCATCATGTGTCGTCAAGTTACAGGCGCAAGCGCTTGAAGGCATCTCGAAGCTGCAGGAATGCATTCTCGGCTTTACGCTGCCCTTTAGATGTCATCTGTCACAAAAACAGCGAAAACGGCGGCGCATGTAAGAACCGCGGGGCTAGAATGCATTATCCGGCATTACCTCTTGCAATATATTGATCTGACAATCAGTCGATCTGACAATAAAGTAATTTGCCAAAAAGATTTTAACGTTAACTTGCATTAACGTTATTAAGATGGTAGCTTGCATTAAAATTCTGGCTGCACGTAATGCAGCACGGTATGCTTATAAGTCCCGCCACCTGAGCATTATCACTAATTAACTACAGACGAGCCGCATATAAGCCCTCCGGGTACCCGCCCAGGGGATATACGAGCCAAATCGGCCTGTTTCTCTGCCGACCGGCGCTTCACATCGCTGGCAGAACTTAAGGTAATTCATGTGAAAGCCCGGCCTACCCCTTTGTTCTACGCTCATAGTACATGGAAGGTTTCCTTTTGAACGCTCATGAAACAATTACATGATGAAAAGTCGTGCAAACATTCCAAGAGTCATGTGTATCACACGGCCGGTAAGCACATTTTATGATGTAGTTTAAAATGAGCCGCAATATCTACTTTTAGGATAAACAAATATTGACAGTGTATGTTGGTCAGCTGCAAAGGGTTTTAAGCACACCGACAACCTGTATTCAGAGGCTGTGGCGTATGAAAGGCCCAATGATCAAATGCTTAGGTATTAACAAGGATGTGAGTGGGTCGTAGTTATCACTCATAGTTGAGATGTTCATTATAAGCGCATCCTGTGTCATCAAACAGGATTGTGTGTAATTTTTACATTACCGGTTTGATATTGTTATTAACAGTTATGAACACAAATGTCGACAATCATAGCAATCATGATCAATAATGATAGTTAAACTCCGTTACGGTTTACATGGAAACTCACTAAGCAAAAAAGTAGCTACCTGGATTGACATAAGCCTCATCAGACGAGGGCCACAAGCCTGTAAGCACCTCCAATGTCATGCATTACCGGGTATCTCCTCCCTGCGGTGCTGTAGCATCGTGCTGAGCTGCGGAACTGGTGCATAACATTGCGACTAAGCGGCGACGGCCACCAAACAGCGTGGGTCACTGCGGTGTTCGTACCGTCCACCGTTCTGTCCCTCCACCAAACATTCCTGAATGGCCAAACATCATATAACTTGCATCGAGCGATGACCCCTGCCGTTGTCATTTTATGGTTGCCTGTCGTTTCGAGCATTCCAGGACGCCGTCAGGAGCAAAACTCTACGTATTTTAGGAGCACGTGGCCGCCTGAAGGGGGTCACGAATGTCAGCAGTCGGCTAGGTGCGTCAAGGGAAGAGCCTCTGCAAATCGCTACCACACGGCTACATTTTCAGCGTGGAGGAACTTAAAGCATGATTAATATGCCCTGCGGATACGCACCTTTCTACTCACGCTTAGTGCTTACAACGGACGGAGCCAACCGGCATTAATTCGGTCATTCGTATTCGTGGACGATTGACGCCGCTGGCCTATATCGCATTCACATCATGGCGGTCACGTTAACTCCCATAATGTTCTACATTGGTCATTTAGGCATGTCTGTCACGAACAGCGGCCCACTTACGTCAGTGGTGGACAGGCTGTACCAAGAATGTGCTGTCGCCCAGTTGAGTGTTTATGGCACATACTGGGACAGAACGTTTGCTTTGTACCACATGTACCCTGTGCCAGCGCCAAAGGCTGGAATGGTGTCAAGACTGCCTTTACTATTATCCAATGAGCTTGCCAAGTTTGCCGGACGGAGCTCAGTAACAGCCGGGGTAGCTTGTAGTTGGCGTAGGCGATGGTCTCGGACGAGTCCCTCCGATTTTGTGCCCCAAACTACGTTCAGTAACCGTTTTAGGTAGCCTAAAAACAGCAAGGGTCACCAGAACAACGCCAACAGACTACTAATGGCTGATTTTTTGCAGTCCCAACGTTTTGGTTTTGAATGCTACTGAAAACAAGTTCAAGGCTGTTCCGTGTGTACGAAAAATCAGGCAGAGAGCTCGGCAGGTCCTGGATTGCACGTTAGAGACCTAGGATCTGTTTTATGGTATCTTTACGTAGACTTTTTAAGCGCGTTGAGCACACCTCAGAAACATGTGGCAGGATGCAAACGCGAGGTGCATGGCACATAACAAAATTAAGTGGGACTAAAACACAGTAAAGGAGTTGGAACGACCTAAAATAAAGTTGTTTTTGCGTTAAGTATGCAGCAAAGAGGGCCGGTATTTCGCTGATTTATCAAGTACCGGAAGTTCTGGGAAAAAGGCCGCATTTTCTCTTGGAATGGCGATCCTCTTAGGGATTACAATACAATCTACATGACATGTCTGAAAGTCATCTTAACCTCAATTTGTCCATGCTTAAACCATTATCGAGAGACCCTGTCACCATACACAGTAGACGAGAGAGCAAAGATAATGAAATGGTACCTCGAAAGAAAATCAGTCGTCATGACTGGAAGAAAAAAGATCGCATTACAAGAAAGCAAAAAGAAAAAAACACAGACGCTCAGACAAAGTTGGTGGTTTAAAACACAAGAAACACTATCAATAAATGCAATTCAGCGTCACGTGCAAACCTTTACCAAAAAGTGTAGTCTTGAAAACCTGGTAAGTAAAGTCAGCCCTAGGAAAGGAGCCAAAATAACTCTGGTGGAGATTGTAAAAGCAAGACAGGTCTCGCTGCGAAGCACCTATAGATTAATCCAGCAGGAATAGGTTAATAGCCAGGAATAGGCTGTAACAGTGCTACGTTGTTGAGGCTGGCCGGGTCATAGCTCAGTCTTTTACCATGCAAAGTAAGATAACATTAGAAGCCCTCACCAACCGGCTATAACGCGCTCGTGTGCAGCACTGCCTCCTTCCTTCGACTGTGCGAAGTCAACTCTAGCTCCACCAACGAGATTTAGCGATGTTGCGCGCTTTCATGTAGGCGGTGAAAACAGCGAAAACCACCGTTTTGATCTACCGGGCCCCCCGGTGAGGTTCTCAAAGTACTCCCGCACAGAGAAAAGTGCACCGCGTGGCGCATAAACAGTTGTGGCGTCAGTGGCGTCTACTGGTCTCAGGACAGCGAGGGACTGTAGTGACCACAATGGCTAAACGGTACTTAGCCGTGCCTTACAAATTTTGGGCGGCTCTGCACTAAGTCTGCGGCGAAGACATGCCACGTCAGCGACTTCCGCAATATGACATGACGACACACCTGACGGTGGAACGAGATCGTGGCCCAGAGTGGTTTGGACCAAGACATATCTTATTGAAGAAGCCAGGCAACCGGCCAGTGCACTCACTCGATTTGAGTCCACGTTTCTTCTTGTGTGGGCATTTGAAGTCAGAGATGCACTCATACGGCATGAATATCTTCCTGGGCCTAAGCAATGTATAATGATGGTTGTGAAGGCCAAAAAGGCATCGACGTTTCATGCCGTTGTTTAAGCAGCGAAAGATCGGCCGGTGCAGTATCTGGAGCGAACTGGGGGCCACATGGAGCACGTGCTGCTCCGTCCAAGCTAAGAAAGACATGGTGAGCCCAGTGGTCAGATGCAAACAGCAACGAATGTTGTTTACATCGGTGCAGCATTTGTGTTACAAATCAAATCAATACCTGAACTATGAATGACTCAAACCGGTCCACTTTTCCTGGAAGGCCCTGTATTATTCGTTTTACCAGGAGTTCGCTCTTTGGTCTGGGACAATTATGCAAAACTGTTTGCCGTAGCATTAAGCTGATACAAGGAAAGCGATGCTTTTAAACAAGGTTCTCTTACATTGGTAACCTTGTGCATCATAAAAAACACTGCAAGCCTTTGGGTGTTGGCGACGTCAGCGTGAAGTTTTGTAAACGTTGCAATATTGCCAATAGTTTTCATTGGTTCGAGCGGTAAATACTCCCATTTAAATAACCGTTTTAAGTGGTTGTAGGAGCAAATAAGGTTGCAAAAAATCTAGTTTTCCCTATTACCATCTTTTTTAGTTTACCCACCCGTCATGGAAAGGTATAGCATCGGTATGCTGCGCTATAGCTGGTAGAGCTGTGTCATTTATCGCTTATGCACGATTTGTATGCGATCCCGACTGTGTCCAAAGCCCGTCTCCGCCCATCAGACAACAAAGCACCACTGGCGGCGTGTTTGCTCCCCCGACGCCCCGCCATCGCTCTGCCTCCGGACGTGTCGCTGAGCCGCCGCCTCACGGGGGCCGCTATTGAGAGGCACTGCGTCAGATCGATCGGCCTGTTTCAGAGCCGCCGTCGCCGCGCGAGGCTGGCGCGGTCAGCGATGACGCCGCACCTGGCCCGGAACCGATCGTCAACATCGAGCAGGTGCGGCGCTAAGGGCACCACCCCTGCCGCGACTGGGGGGGGGGGGGGGGCTGGCAGGTCATGGCCGGCGCCTGGCGCTATGTTGACAAGTCATGACAAACACACGGCGCATGGCTGGAGAGTCCCGGCCCGCACGTGTAGACACGGCGCCGCGCCGGGTAGCGTGATCAACACATGGCGACTGGCTGGCTGGTTATGACATGCACAATGGGCGTGACGTCACCGAAATAATGAACCCCTCAGTGTGTGCCGTTTCCCTGGCCCACCTCGGACGCGAAATACTTTTATAGCCCACCTTGGGCGGTCGTTCATTTCTACTCAGGATGACATCATATGACGTCACAAGTCCCGTGATATTTTGATATTTTAAAGAGGGTCTTTTCTTTTCATTGTAACTGCGCCCCGCGCTGTGACGACGCTAGCTCGCGCTGACCCACTAACACGCCTCCTTTAACGCGCCAGGACCTGCAGCGGCTGCAGATGTCGCGCCAGGACAACCCGTTCCTGCAGCGACTGCACAGCAGCCGAGAGGAGCTGCCAGACGAGGATCAGACCGACGACAGCCAGCTGGTGGTCCAGGTCAGTGCAGGCACGGGACCCCGTCCGGGGCCCACCGCTGGTCTGGACGCATTGTTGTATAGGACTGAGGGTCCGGCTGTTTGGTCCGCTTTTGCGCTCTTTTGGCTCGGATGGGTGATGAAAGCTCGCTTGTAGGGATCGAAGTGCCTATCAGTGCTAAAACTGTTGTCAGCGGAACAGCTGAACCTGAAATGTTGGCTTGAATGTTTATACGAATGGCAACAGGATTGCAGACGAGCAACCAGCGGTTGGTTGGTCGTCGCAGTCTGCTGCAGTGGATCGAAGGGACAGAAAACTATGGATTGAGTGCCTTTGTTAGAGCAGCGTGATGTGCGGTACCCCAAACTTCCGCTCGGCAACTTCTTTTCGTAAGATCATGTTTGCTGTTCGATGCGGTGAAATGGCCATTCTGAGACAATAGTATTGACATGGCGCCGCCATTTTGTCTGTGCACTTCACTCGGCTCAGCGCTGACCAACGATAAGGACACGCCATCGCATTCCTGGGACATCGTCACGCATACCCGCAGCGTGACGCGCCGGAGCGAGCGTGACGCCGTGACTCGCTGCGCCCGCAGGACCCGGCGTGTAACAAGGAGCTGGCGCTGGCCGAGATCCACTCGCACCTGGTTCGCAGTCCGCCGCCCATCGCCTGGCCCCGTTCGATCAAGTTCGACTTCGGCGACATACACGAGTCGGCGCGGATTGTGGTACGGGCCGACACGACGCTACGGACAGCCGCATGCTGCGCGAGGCGGGAGCTGCGGACGCTGCGCGGAGGCGGGAACTGCCGGCGGGACGCTGCGCGGGGCGGGAGCTGCGGACGCTGCGCGGGCGGAACTGGGACGCTGCGCGGGCGGGAGCTGCGGCGCGGGCGAGCGGGAGCTGCGGACGCTGCGCGGGCAGGAGCTGCGGACGCGGCGCGAGCGGGAGCTGCGGACGCTGCGCGGGCGGGAGCTGCTGACGCTGCGCGAGCGGGAGCTGCGGACGCTGCGCGGCGGGAGCTGCGGACGCTGCGCGGGCGGGAGCTGCTGACGCTGCGCGGGCGGGAGCTGCTGACGCGGCGCGAGCGGGAGCTGCGGACGCTGCGCGGGCGGGAGCTGCTGACGCGGCGCGAGCGGGGGCTGCGGACGTTGCGCGGGCGGGAGCTGCAGACACTGCGCGAGCGGGAGATGCGGATGCTGCGCGGGCGGGAGCTGCGGACGTTGCGCGGGCGGAAGGTGCGGACGCTGCGCGAGCGGGAACTGCGGACGCTGCGCGAGCGGGAGCTGGTAATGCTGTGGTTCACAGTTGAGCGGGGACTGGCCAGCGCGTACGGGTTCAAAACATTTGAGGGGAGAGGCAGCCACAATTCTGATGGGAAAATTTAATTCGGATATGTTCGACAACGCATTTAACTGGAAAGGGAGTCAAGTCCATGATATGAGTCTTTATGGCTGATGTTACATTCTGTTTTGTGTCTTATTGTAGCGCTATAACGACCTGGAAGCATAACCGTCTGGAGACCTGATGTCGTTCGGCCAACATGACGCCAAGCGTTCCCAGCCAGTTGCCGGCGAAGAAAGTTATGCCACCCTCCCGTAGCCAGTTACTGGAATGCCCATCAAAGTCCGGTTGTGGCCGATCAATATCAGGCTCATATTCTTTTATGAGCCACGCGTGCTTGTACCAGGCATCTGATATATTAGGCGGTCGCTCAGTCAGCGATTCGAAGGAATGGCACACGGCATTCAGGTAGCAGGCCAGATATAACCTCTCCAATAGGGGAGCGCATGCTTTCAATGTTCTATCTCGAGTAGTTCAGTTATTCACAACGGCATTTATACAGATAAAGATGTTGATCACTGTCATGTCCGTCTGTGCGTTTACGGTGTTGCTTAACACTAGAGCATCTAAAGCTTGCCTGAACCGTTAATTGCACTGAACATATCCAGGTGGCAGTACTGACAAATTAGGTTAAGATATTCAGGAATGATTTCATCCACCAACATCACATTTTCTTTTGTGGCTTGCGTCATGTTCCCTCTTGCCTGATAAGGCTGCATCCTCGTCCAACTCCCACTGCTTAAACGCCATCACAGAGGCGAAAGGTGATTCGGCCTTTCGATGCCGCAGCAAAAAGGCCAATGTTCGAGCACGCTCGTTGAAGTGGGCAGCCGCACTTTGCGCGCTCATGGTCCTTTGAGTGGAAACCGGACTCTGTTTCAGGAGGTCGTACCAAGATCGAACCTGCGTCCGCTCGCGTCAAAAGAGAGGGACGAGGTGATGGACCAGTGCTTGCAGGATATACTACAGACACAACGGTCGCTTCCGCTTCAAAAAGGTAACACAATTAATGACGCCAGTAAAATGGCAGTAAACCCCCTCCCCCCCCCCCCCCTCCCCTCGTCTCTTCGGGTGACGATCAACGTCAGCACCGATCCCAAACACGGCAGTGTCAGCACCGATCCCAAACACGGCTCCCCCCTCCCCCCTCCCCTCGTCTCTTCGGGTGACGATCGACGTCAGCACCGATCCCAGACACGGCAGTGTCAGCACCGATCCCAAACACGGCAGTTGTCAACGTCAGCACCGATCCCAACACGGCAGTGTCAGCACCGATCCCAAACACGGCAGTGTCAGCACCGATCCCAAACACGGCAGTTGTCTGTTTTTAACGTGTATGAGACTTAGCTGCGCGTTCAAATTGATGGGGCTCGTCACAGCCTGGCGCTCAGCCTCATTGGGTCAAGTCAAGTCCGTGTAGCTGTGGAAGCAGGATGCGTAGTGGAGCATGCCAGCGTCTACCATCGTCTTACTCCGCCGACCGACTGATTGGTGACAACCGCTGAAGATGATTATTTCAACGCGTTTGTGCCCAATTTCACCATCAGTTTCAAGTTATTTGATGTATCATTCGTGCACTCCCACGCGGCCGTTCAGATCCAGTTTAAACCACCACAATTGACATTTGGGTAAAACAAACTTCCAGGTGCCACACTGGTGATAAAGGGCAGCGCACTTGTGGGTACACTTGCGCAGCTCTTGCTTGACTACGAAGTCGTACCTAATGCGCTAAAACCACATACTGGCACTCGTTGCGATGCGTACACCGGTGGCGTGGCACCCTTTATGGGAATATAAACATTCGCCGAGATGTCCTCACACAGAATTGATTTCTAAAAGGCGTTCTTTGTAACAGTGGCAGCCGTTTTCGATGCCTTCTTTGTCCTGCGCCAGCGATAAGGGTCATGACCTTTTCCAATGGATGAATCGTCTGCGATGCGATCTTCGTCGCAGCGTTGCCTGTTGACGGAACGCCCTCTGTTGTCACAGCAGTCATTAAAGAGCTGTCCTCTGCTGCAGCATCGACAGTTGACGAGACGTTCACGGGCCGGCTAAGCCCGTGCAGAAGTCCTCCCAAAGCGCCTCCCTCAGTCCGCTGCCTCAGCCCCAGACGAGGTCGGTGTCTGTGTTGTGGGCATGGGAGGGACGGTCAGGAATGGAGTGGGGCTGGGGATACCGGAGGCAGGTACAACTGCAGTGATGTCATACTCACTTGACATAGTCCGATGTATGGATCCGTCCACGAATTGGTGACTATAACAGTTCGTCGCTGTGTAAGGGATGTACACTTGACGTGAACGGATCAATATCCAACGTATTGATCCGTTCACGGATTGGTGATTCACAGTTCGTCGCTGTGTAAGGGATATACACTTGACATAGTCCAACGTATTGATCCGTTTACGAAGTGGTGACTCACAGTTCGTCGCTGTATAGGTGATATATACTTGACATAGTCCAATGTACTGATCCGTTTAGGAATTGGTGACTCACGGTTTGTCGCTGTATAAGTGATATACAATTGATATAGTCCAATGTATTGATCCGTTCACGAATTGGTGACTCACAGTTCGTCGCTGCATAGGTGACATACACTTGAAATTGTCCAATGTACTGATCCGTTCACGAATTGGTGACTCAGTTCGTCGCTTTATAAGTGATACACACTTGACATAGTCCAATGTATTGCTCAATGCATTCATTCAAAAACCTTTGAACAAATACTTACAATTTAGCCTTTAAAATGTCAGATGCAACAAAAAGCCAACACACACACACGCACAATATCTCGCACCCACATGCAACCTCTTATAGGTAGACACAACACAACACAGTGAGCGCGGGATCCGTAATAGGTGGCGCCTCAGTGCACGGCTAAACCGCGCCACGAGGGGCCGCGGCAGGTCAGGAGTCGGTCGCGCACCGGTCGGGCTACGGAATGCCGCGGCAGGTCAGTGATCGGCGCACCGACCGAGCCACGGGGAGCCGTAGCAGGTCATGGGTCGGTCGCGCACCGGTCGGGTTGCGGAATGCCCCGGCAGGTCAATGATCGGCGCACCGACCGGGCCACGGGGAGCCGTAGCAGGTCAGGGGTCGGCGCACCGACCGGGCCACGGGGAGCCGTAGCAGGTCAGGAGTCGGTCGCGCACCGGTCGGGTTACGGAATGCCCCAGCAGGTCAATGATCGGCGCACCGACCGAGCCACGGGGAGCCGTAGCAGGTCAGGGGTCGGCGCACCGACCGCGCCACGGGGACCGTAGCAGGTCAGGGGACAGCGCACCGACCGGGTCACGGGGAGGCGCGACAGGTCTGAAACGGGGACACTACTCTTAGCCAAGCTCATCAACAAAGGAGCCGTCTCCCCTCGCAGCACGGACTTGGGAACGTGAGGGAAGACGTGCTCTCTGCCGTTGTGCTCTCGAGCACGAGAGATTAGCCAGAGCTCGCGAGCTGGCATCCCTGGTTACCCAAGGTCGTGCGCTCCATCACCCTGCCGGGACTCTCAAGGGAGCTGTCCAACTTCTCTAGCGGATGGAAAACATGATCAAGCTCGTGGTGCTTCATTCTGATTTTAATCGCGTAGATGATGACTTGTCGAATCACAGAGCGGTTGATAGAGTTTCACTACCGTGAATAAAAATGCAGTAGCGGATCTACCACAGAACCAAGGCACTGATATTTGCGGAAATGACACCGGAAGGCAGATAACTGCCCAGATGTGAGAGACCAGCTCGTATACCGAAAAGCGGTTAATAATCTGAGAAATCTGAAAGTTCCAGATGACGACACAATCAACATTTCATTCTTAGTTATTTGGCGTTCCGCATCCAGGGTGAGAGGTCGTCCTCGTGTAAAATGTTAGCTGACATGTGCTGCGCCCATGATTACGATAACCATGAAGCCAATATACCACTAAGTTCAAATCGTGTTTGCAACAATCGCGCGAGCACTAGGAGCGGACTGCAGGGGCACAAACAACAGCTTAATATACCGGACAGCAGATACATAACACTCGGCTACCAAACGCACGCTGGCTCATATCTCATAGTTTGTGACATGACACGGAAGCGGGCCGGCCGGGTGTGGCGCTGGCTAGCGGCCGTCACACCTCTGGCCAGCCGGCCAGGGAGGGTTGACGTGTTGAGCTGTCCCCTGTGTGCCGTCAGGCGGGCCGGGTGTGGCGCTGGCCGGGGACCGTCCCAGTCAGCCAGGAGGGGTGACGTGTTGAGCCTTCCCCTGTGTGCCGCCAGGCCGGCCGGGTGTGGCGCTGGCCGGGGGCCGTTCCAGTCAGCCCAGGAGGGGTGACGTGTTGAGCCCCCCGCTGTGTACCGCCAGGCCGGCCGGGTGTGGCGCTGGCCGGGGCCGTTCCAGTCAGGGCCGCCAGGAGGGGTGACGTGTTGAGCCGTCCCCTGTGTGCCGCCAGGCCAGCTGGATGTGGCGCTGGCCGGGGCCGCCAGGAGGGGTGACGTGTTGAGCCGTCCCCTGTGTGCCGCCAGGCCAGCTGGATGTGGCGCTGGCCGGGGCCGCCAGGAGGGGTGACGTGTTGAGCCGTCCCCTGTGTGCCGCCAGGCCGGCTGGGTGTGGCGCTGGCCGGGGGCCGCCAGGAGGGGTGACGTGTTGAGCCTCCCCGTGTGCCGCCAGGCCGGACGCCGCCCGACCGCGTCCTGATGACCCAGCCGGCGGCGCCGGAGTCCGCCGCTCCCGACGCCCGGCTGGGCACGCCCCTGGCACCGCTCCGGCCGCCGCGACGCTCCGTTCATGGTCAGTGGCCGGCCAGGGACGTGTTCCTCGGTCAGTGGCTGAGGATGGCTCGCTTCGTTCCTCAGTCAGTGATAGGGTACGAGCCCTCCGTTCCTCAGTCAGTGACAGAGTACGACGGGGCTCGGGACGCTCCGTTTCACAGGGTCAGTGGCAGAGGAAGGAACGCTACACAGGGTCAGTGGCTGGGACGGCACGCTACACAGGGTCAGTGGCTGGGACGGGGACGCTACAAAGGGTCAGTGGCTGGGACAGGACGCTACACAGGGTCAGTGGCTGGGACGGGACGCTACACAGGGTCAGCGGCTGGGACGGGACGCTACACAGGGTCAGTGGCTGGGACGGGACGCTACACAGGGTCAGCGGCTGGGACGGGACGCTACACAGGGCAAGGAGAGACCCGCATCATTACGAAGGAGCAGGCAGATAAACTTCCGGTACACTGGGTAGCTATGGAGATGTCCTGTTCCTCGGGGCTGGTGGAAAGATCGTTTCATTTCATCCGTGTAGCCACCGGTGCATATTCCCGCAAGTTTTGCCCAAATGCCCTTTGGCGCCCCCCCCCCCCCCCCCCCCAGCAATGAATGTGACATGCGTAATTATTTTTTTCAATATAAGACACTGTTTGGGTAAGATCTACTCTAGTACGTCATTTATCTCCCTTCTCCCCTCCCCCATTCCCACGACGTGGCTATGCCAACAGTCTGCTGCGCATTGTGCTCAGCAATCCACTCTGTTCCTGGTTCATTTGGGTGCCTTTCCATTTCTCTGGGTCAGTTAATTAGTTGGTTGAGCTCCTTTGCGTTAGTGGAAAGTCGTTCTGTTTTCATCTCGCCATACAGCACTCCTCCTGCTTCGGCTGCAGCACATCGCTGCCGACGAGACTTCACTGTCCGCACAGCGAAAGAGGCACGCACCCGTATCACTGTCATATCTACTGTCACACAAATTATCAACCATTTTAGCCTTCTTGCGCCACAGGGTGACAGCGTACGCCGCGGATATGATAGGCGAACGGAAGCGCGTAGCTCGTACTGAGAAATCTGATTTCTCATCGGGCGTACTTTTGCCCGAATGCTTCCGCACCACTAGACGCTGCGCCGCCGCCCGCAAATCGTCTAAAATCAGATAGCGCAATGCAGACCGACCGCAGTCAGCGCAAGCCACATTCAGTATTGAATGGAGGTAGAAGATTTTGACACCCCCATAGACTGCAGTGATGAATTGTGCTTATATAATAACGGAGTTCAGAGCACAATGGATATAATAATAATCAAAAACCGTGTTTCAGACCTGTGCGCCCTCCATCCGGTCTTTTGTTGTGTGTAATGCTTTTTCTTCGTTAGATTTCTCGTTAGCTTAGGCGTCTCCTCAACTTTGAAAAGCATCTGATTTTGAGCCAAAGATCATTTGGAAGTGTCGGTCCTCTAAGCTGGACACGTATTGCCGTGACGTGGCGTTAACGTCCACCGTCGCCGCTTGCAGGGGAGTCTCGACTGGGTTTCCACTCCAGCAGCGCAAGCTTTCAGAGGAGTGGAGATGCGTTCACAAGAAGACCAAACACATAACCAAGCACAAGGGCTTGTTCTGCGCAGACGCACACCGCTCCGATAACCCTGGCTGATACTCGAGTCCATGTCAAGTAGACAACTTGAGCTTGGATGTTTCGTAGGCTTAATTTGGTTTGTGACACGACAGAAAAATGTGTACGGCATGACGTGCAGTGTGTGAATTTGATAGATTATTTACAACGCTAATCGTCCGAGCCTGGGGATAGTCTATATTGTATGCGTTGTGCTTTGTGCGTGTCGTGTGCCCATGCCTATTGCACACGGTACCTTAATGTGGGTTGCGTGAATCAGTACGCATCAATAGTGACGCCAGCTATCACAATGGAGACAGCTTATGGCTTTCCGGGCTGTGGTCCAATGTGCACGTTCGCAGCGCCGAGAAAGCACTATCAACGTCATGGACGCTTGGATTCAACACCATGAACACATTCCCTGTTTTACTACCGCGAATGCATTTCCACTTTCGTGAACACACACTCGGCCCGGGACCACGACGGAAGAAGTGGCGTGAGAGACGGAGCTAGGTGAGAGGGAGCTGGGTGGAGATGCAGAGCCATTTCGCTCAGGTTTTAGATGTCAGATTCTACGTAGACGGCGTGATTGTGACAGAATGTGAACCAGACAATACCATTGTGTCTGTTGTTAGACAGCCATGTACGGCCGAAGGACCTGGGTCAGAATCGTGAATGTGCTGCACTGGAGACAGCTTTGACTTGTGATGCGTCGATCTCGGGCGGCTATGACCGACAGCGGGAGTCTGGTGAGGAGATCATAAGTTGTGAAACACTGTGTGATTTGTTTTGTCTTTGAAAACATCGTTTATGAAGTAAGCTATGTGCGTGTAATGAAGCGCAGGTTTGATGCCCATTTCCAACATGCAAAATAAGATTACTAGAAGCTACAGTGTCATTCTTTTTTCTTGCTTGTACTGCTACCGTTTCAAGTGTATATTGTGTTGCAATATCTGTCACAATTGCTAGAACGATTTAAAATCGGGATAGTCTGAATGAAAAAATGTAGTTTGCTGTTAAACCATGAAAGTAGTCCGTTTCCGTGGCAAAAATGTTTTATCCGTGAAATGTTAAGATAACATGCATTTCAATCATGTTGGAATAATCATGCTTTCTAATCAACGAATGATCATCGATCACTAAGACATGTCGGACTTAAATCCGAAGCTTCTGGCCATTGCTATTCATCTTATACACCCTGACGTATGAGAGCTATCATACGAGATCACCCTCGTCCCTGATCACTTATGATCTTCATGTCCATATTCTTCACGTCTACTTGTCCATTATTACACATAATCAGGATGTGTATAAATACTAATTAACTTATCGAAATATTTGTAATCTTGGATATCCATTTCAAAGGAATGAGACATATGCTTCTGCTAATGCTATTTTTAGGATAATCCGCACATTGATGTACCTCGAAGAGTGATGATGCGAGACAAATGTATGATATCGCAACAGGGTCGGGAGCTGGAGAGCAAATACATGCTTGCGAAAGACAGCACAAAAAATGGTGCATGGTATGAGAGTTTTGAGACCAAGTCACTGCTGGCTCCATCAACGCCACTTACAACATGAATCGAGTTCAATGCAATTCCTGCATCTCTAAGTGCTCGTTGTGAGAACTATTTCGCTCACAAGACGCGACCGAGGCGTGCCTTTGGCCGGAGTTTGCATCCGGTATGTTTGTGGTTCCAGCGACCTTATGACGCCTCCTTCAAAGGGCTACGCTGGAAAACGCGGCAAATTGACGACGTGTGATGCGCTCTTAATTCCGTATTTTCCAGGTCAAGATATATCGTTATTCTCAAGGCATAGAGTGGTTATATAATGACCAGCATAATATCTGTCACTTTTGCGAAGGTAAGTGGCGTCAGTGTCACACCATGTTAAATCGTGCAACTGACTTTGAGGTAGCTCACACAATCTGAACAAAATGACTGGGATGTGTAAGCATGTATTTGGGTAATGGTCTGAAGTTTCCACATTTGAAGATGTGGAAAACAGGCCTCAGATAGATGAAAAACGCTTACTTGTAACTATTGGTATGCTCTTAAGGTTCCAAAAATTTCTCTAGATAACACACCTTCTCTTTTTAGTAGATGTGCTCCTAAATACGCCATCATTTGATTTCGTCATCTACCGTTTTTATGACGTCGGAGTCGCCGCCAGACTGGCCGTGTCTGAATTGGCGCTGTCGGTGCACGCGCCGACTCACTTTTAGCATTTCAACTTGCTGAGAGGTGGCTTGTTTCCTGTTAACTGGTTATCAGCCAGCAAGACTTGGTGTGGACCGTCATCTACACGTGATTGGGGAATGTGGCAAGCGGGTGGTCGGCAATACTGGTCGGCATGGTCGGCAATACTCACAGGGACCAGCGCGAATATCACTCCTTTGTTACTGAAAGATGCGGTAGCCCCGCCGCCCTGGCCTCTGTCCACATGCTCCACCTGGGCGCTGCCGCGTGCGGCCAGGCTGGACCCGCACCGGTTTCTGTCCACATGCTCCACCTGGGCGCTGCCGTGTGCGGCCAGGCTGGACCCGCGCCGGTTTCTGTCCGCATGCTCCACCTGTGCGCTGCCGCGTGTGGCCGGGCTGGACCCGCACCGGTTTCTGTCCATATGCTCCACCTGGGTGCTGCCGCGTGCGGCCGGGCTGGACCCGCGCCGGTTTCTGTCCACATGCTCCACCTGTGCGCTGCCGCGTGCGGCCGGGCTGGACCCGCGCCGGGCCACCACGCCTCGGCAGCGGTACCACGCGAGGCCGGCGTACTGCCGCGCCAGACCACGTCCGCGGAGAGGGACGCCCCGTTACGTGATGGCCTCTCCCCCTCCCCCGGCGGGGTCAGGACGTGCGTGTACCGCCAGGGAAAAGTCAGGAGATTTTATCGAATGTCGCTGCCGTGAGAAATGTCAACGGCAAGGGCGGCTGGCTGAGGAGCAGCTGCGGCAGCTGCTGGCACTGGCAGCGGGCATGACGCGGCACAGATAAGCATCAGCGTGGCGGTAGCAGGCACATGTACAGAGCAGCAATGGTACAAGGCATGAAACGGGATGAAAAATCGGCGGCAAACATCTAATGGGCAATATTCGCTGAGATAAGAACAATGCTGAAGACATAAGTGACAGGTTGCTGAGTTAACATGTTGGCAAGCGGCAATTTTGGACCCCACAATCCCACCTAACCACTATCTCAGTGACTATGGCTTGATTGCATGTGACGTGTCACCTAGCGATGTTTTGTGAAGGTACGCCTTTTCATATTACCAGGCCTTTTTATTTTTAGGTACGGTGCGCCAGCAGTAGACGCCGGTTGGGGCACCGGCAAAACACTCCCGGGGGACTGAAGTAATGTTTTATGGACATACATAGATATGTTGATCTCTTTCTCGCTCCCTTTCTTCTTTTTTCTCTCTCGCTCTCTCTCTCTCTCTTCTCTCTCTCTCTCTCTCTCTCTCTCTCTCTCTCTCTCTCTCTCTCTCTCTCTCTCTCTCTCTCTCTCTCTCTCTCTCTCTCTCTTTCTTTCTCTCCAATTTACGGCTAGGACTCTCCTCCGCGTCCGTTTTTTGCACCCCCTCTACCTGAATTTGGAAGAGACTCCATGGAATATTTTAGAAAACGCTTGCATTTGGGCGATGGCCAAGTTCAGCAGCCTAATGATGACACCTACTCCGTCTTGATGGGAAGGCACCGAGACGGATCATGATTTCATGATTGGCTCGTACGCCGTGCCGCTCACCGTTGGCAGCTGAGCCGCCGTCCGTCGGCAGCTCCTCGTCGCAGTCGTCTTCCGTAGCGCTCTCTTCTGCCTCGCTGGTCCCACTCAGGCCGCCCAGTTCTGCCCCCCCCCCCCCTCCCACATACAAAGGGTAGCTGAGTCGCGGTTCTGCGCACAGCTCTCTGCCAGCAGTGTGCGGACTATGGTCTGGTTTGCGAAGAGCTGGTCTGGTCTGCCAGGCGTGACCAGGGCGGCTGAGCGGCGGCACTGCGGGGAGGAGCTGGTCTGGTCTGCCAGGCGTGACCGGGGCGGCTGAGCGGCGGCACAGCGGGGAGGAGCCGGTCTGGTCTGCCAGGTATGGCCGGGGCGGCTGAGCGGCGGCACAGCGGGGAGGAGCTGGTCTGGTCTGCCAGGTATGGCCGGGGCGGCTGAGCGGCGGCGCAGCGGGGAGGAGCTGGTCTGGTCTGTCAGGCGTGACCGGGGCGGCTGAGCGGCGGCACAGCGGGGAGGACCTGGTCTGGTCTGCCAGGCGTGACCGGGAGGCTGAGCGCGCGGCACAGCGGGGAGGAGCTGGTCTGGTCTGCCAGGTATGGCCGGGGCGGCTGAGCGGCGGCACAGCGGGGAGGAGCTGGTCTGGTCTGCCAGGCGTGACCGAGGCGGCTGAGTGGCGGCACAGCGGGGAGGCCTGGTCTGGCTTGCCAGGCGTGACCGGGGAGGCTGAGCGACGGCACAGCGGGGAGGAGCTGGTCTGGTCTGCCAGGTATGGCCGGGGCGGCTGAGCGGCGGCACAGCGGGGAGGAACTGGTCTGGTCTGCCAGGCGTGACCGGGGAGGCTGAGCGGCGGCATAGCGGGGAAGACCTGGTCTGGTCTACCAGGCGTGACCGAGGCGGCTGAGCGGCGGCACAGCGGGGAGGACCTGGTCTGGTTTGCTAGGCGTGACCGGGGCGGCTGAGCGGCGGCACAGCGGGGAGGAGCTGGTCTGGTCTGCCAGGCGTGACCGAGGCGGCTGAGCGGCGGCATAGCGGGGAAGACCTGGTCTGGTCTACCAGGCGTGACCGAGGCGGCTGAGCGGCGGCACAGCGGGGAGGACCTGGTCTGGTTTGCTAGGCGTGACCGGGGAGGCTGAGCGGCGGCACAGCGGGGAGGAGCTGGTCTGGTCTGCCAGGCGTGACCGAGGCGGCTGAGCGGCGGCACAGCAGAGAGGAGTGCAGTCAAGTGTGAAAATTGGCCCGGGTCAGTGAACGTATCTGTGACCATCAAGTTATTTCCACACGCTACAGAGGTATTAAATGTTCGCAGTCGATGTGAGGACAGAACGCCACGAAACAGGCCAGCAAGAGCCGCGGACTAGATGCTGCGAGGTTTCGCCCGAGCCCTAGCCCTAGCTAGATCATTTGCCATTGTCAACGCACCGACTGATTAACTGCCCAGCATGGTCAACTGCCGGTAGATCAGCTGCCCCGTCCGGTAACTGCCGGTAGATCAGCTGCTCAGCCTGGTCAACTGCCGGTAGATCAGCTGCCCCGTCCGGTAACTGCCGGTAGATCAGCTGCCCCGTCCGGTAACTGCGGGTAGATCAGCTGCCTTGTCTGGCCAACCGTCCGGTTTACCAGACGGGACAGCTGCCCTGTCATCTGCCCCTTTCATCTGCCCGGCTTGGGTATGGATTATATGGATTTCCCGTCAGCGTATGTTTCTCATATACAGTGCCGTTATGTTTTCCAACTGCATTAGGTGATACGTCACCCAACATGTGTTAATTGACGTTGTATAATTGACCTAATATTTGACCTCTGCTCTGGCGCCAATTGTTTTGAAATGCGCTCGTGCCACAAAGATGTAGGGCCCAGGCACTGGTAAGCGCACCAAAGAAAATCGCTATTGCTCATCGAAGATACCACCCTGTGCGCGTAATCTGTGGATAGAGGAATGTTTTACTAAAATATCGTAAGACATTCATAGCATATGTCAATGGTATCTTGATGCTGTTTACACCTGACCAGAAGAAGCATGCCGCATTGATTACTGGGTGGATGTTTACTTTCATTCAGCGGTGCAGCTATAACAGTCAGTTCAATGCATTCATGTTTTTAGTTCATTGGTGTTTTGAACCCATAAATGCTTCAACGCTTCAACGCTTCAATGGTGTAGGAGAATGAAAGTCTTGCACCTTATCTCGTAAGATATTTGTGGGGTATGCACCACGCTGTTATGGGGTCAACCTGTCCTGTTGCTAGGCCTCCCGCTGAAATGACGGCCGCCGGCGGTTCCCCTGATGCACACTCGCATTACGTGCAGCCCCACTCCCGCTGTCTTTATGGCTCCCA